TGTAGTGAGGGGCCCAAAACTGAACACAGTATTTGAGGTGCAGCCTCACCAGTGCCAAGTACAAAGGGACAATCACTTCCTTAGTCCTGCTGGCCACACTGTTTCTGACACAAGCCAGGATACTATTGGCCTTCTTGGCCACCTGGGCACATTGTTGGCTCATCTTCAGCCAGCTGTTGACCAATACCCCCAGGTCCTTTTCCAGCAGGCAGCTCTCCAGCCCCTCTTCCCCACGCCTGTAGCATTACATGGGGTTGTTGTGACCCAAGTGCAGGTCCCGGCACGTAGCCTTGTTGAACCTCATACAGTTGGCCTCAGCCCATCAATCCAGCCTGTCCAGATCCCTCTGTAGAGCCTTCCTACTCTCCAGCAGATCAACACTCCCACCCAACTTGGTGCTGTCTGCAAACTTACTAAGGGTGCACTTGATCTGCTAGCCCAGACCATTGATAAAGGTATTAAACAGAACTGGCCCCAATACTGAGCCCTGGGGCCACCAACTGGATTTAACTCTATTCACCACAACTCTTCAAGCCCAGCCAGCCAGCTTTTTACCCAGTGAACAGTACACAGATGTCATGGTGGTGTCACAGCAGGTAGAATATTGGCAGTGGCAGCTGGTGACACTGCCAGCCCAGGTGGGGTATAAGAAGTGCTGTGCCAGCCCAGGCTGGCAGATGAGCAGCTAGGTGAGCAATGGTAGGGAGGGGAGAGCATGGAGGCAGAGGCTGCCCCTGGTGATGAAGGGTGGCTGCTTTGTACTACAGTTGGATATCTGGACAGGGAAACAACCAGATCACAGCACACTCCTGTCCTCTTCCTCCTCTGCCACTGAGCTAGAGAGTTGCCAACAGTCTACAAGACATATAAGATAACACCAACCCCTACCTCTTGGTGGTCTAACTGGGAGCTGGAAGCTCCCCAAAGCCATGGGCAAAGGGAGCTCTGTGCCCTTTTTCACTGGGTACCCTGGGACTGAGCTCCTGGCACTAGCCCTAGTGATGTAGTGGCCATGTCAGTGGGCAGAATGCTGGTGGTAGCCAGCATTTTTGGCCCAGGATGGGTGTCTCCTGGCCATCAGGTAGGCATGGAATGGACAGTCCTGATGTGAGGCTGGAAGAGCCCCACGGAGGGCAAGGGCTGCCCATGGCAACAGAGGGTGGCTGCTTCAGTTGGTGGTTCTCTTGTCTTTGACAGCTGCAACCCTGTACAGGGACATATGCAGATCATGGCACACTTCTGTTCTCTTCCTCCTCCACCATTCAGCAAAGGAGTGTTACAACCTTACACAAGGTCACTGACCCAAGGATAAAGAAACACCTTATCCTGTACCTCTACACCGTATCTCATATTCTGTGTTAGATAGCATCATGGTCCTACAGGAAGCTGGAAGGTACCCACAGCAGTGGGCAAAAGGAGCTCTGCAGCACCCACCTTCTTTGTGTGAAACTTATCACAGAATGAAAAAAGTTTATAAATACAAATTTTCTGATTCATAAACCCACTGGCTGGTTCTTCTTGTTTGTGCTGTCTTCAATTCAGGCAATGATATTGAAAGCTGAATTTTAGACTTGAAAATTGATTAAGCTTCCTAATACTGCTTGCAAATCGCAGATTGCAATCATCCAACTGCTGAAACCCTCCATCTATTCCCAGTGCTTTACAGATCAGCTTCACACTCCTTTAGAAATAATTACTCTTGATGTTTCCCTGAAGACAGAACACTTAGTGAAACATTCATTTGTTTGGCATGTCAATTGGAGCGCTCCAAGCAGCAATACTGCTACTAAATAGGTTTGTGGGTTTTCTTCCCTTTCAAGGAAGTTTTCTGGTTCAGGGACTCTCCTATTCCTATCTTTTTAAAAATCGTTAGAATAAATCCATTTTATAAACTCCACAATATACAAAAATAAGTACTATTGCAACACTGAATATGTTCAAGAACAGGATTTTTCTTACTAAAAGTCTCAGAAGTTTTATTTCATATCTTCATCCTGTGCTTCAAGAAGACTCATTTTATTTGTGGGGACAGAATTTGATCTTTTGTATTGCTAACTCAGATACATTCTGTTATGCAACGCACCAGCTAGGTAAGCATTTCAGTGTTAATCAATTTGTTTCAATGACACTAGGGGGACACAGCATCATCTCTAAGATGCTTGTTTTGATAAAGATTTGAAGAAAATAAGCCTGAAATGATGGTCCCTGTATTTCCTACAGTCAGAAGGCTATTCAATTCTTAGAACAGATACAATTTAAGATCATTTTCAGACAGGTTCATTCAAGCCTCAAAAATCACAAAACCAGAATCACCACATCCTGGGAACTTTCAAGTTCCTTGTTGTGCCCAAAGCTGAGACCTGTGCAACCTGACAAGGGAACAACCACCAAAGCCAGAAGTCAGTTTTGAATTCTAATCTCTGAATAGTCCAGGTGTTATGGATAAGTTAGGATAATTTCATCTGTTACTGAAGTAAGTGTAAGTTGATATATATTTTCACGTAAGTTAACATACGAAATATACTGGCAGACTTATGCTATTGTAATAGAAACATGTTCCATCTGGCCTATAAAAGTTTGATAAAGCATCCAATACCTCCAAGAAAATGTTTGCACAGCAGACTAGAAAATTCCTCCTCAAATTTGCTTCTGAAGCCCAGCTTAGTGCTTGAGCATATGAGCTTTTATAGCCCCCACAAATAAAACACGCCAGTGAAGACATTAGCTAAGAAATCTGCTCACTGTCTCCATTCCTCTGCATGCGCTGTCTCTAGCTGTCCTTGGTTGTCAATTTTTCTCAAGAACAGTTTCAAAGATTTGAATGTTAAAGTCTCAAAGGTTTGAGATTTAGTTACTCCAAAACACTTACTGAATCTCTCAATACAAGGGCAAGAAATACATTGCATGTATTAATTCTGTATTTAGCTAAGAAATCTGCTCACTGTCTCCATTCCTCTGCATGCGCTGTCTCTAGCTGTCCTTGGTTGTCAATTTTTCTCAAGAACAGTTTCAAAGATTTGAATGTTAAAGTCTCAAAGGTTTGAGATTTAGTTACTCCAAAACACTTACTGAATCTCTCAATACAAGGGCAAGAAATACATTGCATGTATTAATTCTGTATTATAGCAAGTACATTTTTGTCAGTCTGCTGATAAAAAGCTCTGTAATGTATACACTGAAGCATCATATAGTTCACCTTAATTAATCTAGCAGGGGAGTACAGGAAATACCACCTACTCTGCCACAGAAATGCCTGTTTGCAAAGACAGCGGATCATAATTTAGTTGGAGGAATGAAACTACTCCCTGCACAGTCCAAGACACCACACACATCAAGACAGCATTCACACAGGGGAGAAAAGCACAACTGGTCTTTGCTTTAATTGCTAGAAAACGTTTTTCATTCCCTCTGCTTTATCTGTAATTTAGGATGGTAACAGTGATATATTTTGAATATTTTAAACACCAATTGTGATTCTATTTGGCCAAAAGGCACTTCCAGTTGCAGCAAGGCAATTCCTAAAAGCCAACACCATCCACATAGCCTCAGCATATTGATACACTTAACAGAAGAGCCCATTTCCCCAAGATGTTGCCCCGAATCTGCCAACAGTCCCTCTACAGAAGCTGCCTGGGTCAGTCTGAGCGCTCACATGCCCGCAGGTAAAAAAGCAGCATGACAAAGTGACTAAAAATAACTATGAATAACTTTTTGACCAGCTGCTAGGCCTTTACCAGCAGCTAATTTAACCCTTCCTTATGGGGACAGTGGGCTTTTTGGGGGGTTATGGTGGTATTTGGGGGGGGACTGTTTGAAACAAATTAAAATACTGATATTTTTCCACTGACCAACTTCAGGCAATAAGCAGCACACTTAAAATGATAAAAAGTTCTACAGTATAGGATGACACACAGGTACCACACCAAAGTACTTTCTGAATAGAATTAAATTACATGAAATCTAAAGACATCATTCAGCTCATGCAGAATTAAAACCTGCACTGACTAGAAGAAATTTTTACCAGATATTCGTAAGCAGAATCCAACTTTGACATTTTACTCCTTAACATATTCCAAAGCTCATTCTTTTGCTGTTTCAGAAATTTGTAAGAGTGGGAGGGTATGATAAGCCAAAAGATAATTTCAGTGGAGAAAAATCTTTATGACAAGGTAGAGCCTGTCATTTCAGTGGAATTCAGTCGAATTTCAGTTCAGGAAATCACATTAATTTGGAAAAAAGGGAACTAAAGGTATTTGGGTTTAGTGTTTACCTTCTGAAGATCTCTAGATTTAGGTAGGAAACATACAGAAAGCAGTTGGCCAAGCCTAAGAACCTCTGATCTTACAATTCATATCTAACCACATTCCCATTGTGGAGTCTGTGTGGTTGGTAACTAATGTTTCATCTATGCTGCTATTCTAAGCAAGCCATTTCTGTCTCCCTTATACTTTTAAGCTCACACAGTGACAAGCACACAGACCGCAACCATGAGTACTACCCTACCCACTTTCTTGGGAAAACTGTTTCGTTTATCCTAACCACAAACTACAAGATCAGTTATGCTTCCTGAGACAGCACTATATTCTATTGGCAAATACTTTGCATGTTTTCACTGAACCCAGGGCGTAAAGGAAAAACCACAGAATAACATGTTCCAACAAAGGCACGGTAAATGGAGCACATCTTCCAAAGACACAGCAGGAGACAACCACCAATACTAATAGAGTTATACTAATAGATATAGAGTTATTCTAAACAAAAAAAAAATGGCAACTGTCTTTTAAGTGAGGCTTTTCTTAAATACTTTTCTAGCTTTGTGTTTAACTGGATGTAATCTTGGCTCAGGCTGCCAGTATTTAACTCATGTGAAGAGACCAAATGGTCAAAAAAAAAGTATTTTTCTTGGTATTTCTTCACATGCCAGAAGAAAATCACCAACAGCTGTAGAAGCTGAATAAGAGTTTCTGCAATGTCTTTAACTAACTTAAGAAATTGAATGAAGTTCTGAGATTCCAAATAAAAACTTTTAAAGCACCAGTATTACATTTTCTCAATTTGTCTTTTGACATACTGCCAATACAGATAACAGCTGAACAGTTTTTACAGCCTCTAAAAAATGTCCAATAAACTAAGTCCCTAAGCACAAAGTCACCAGGCTGTACCTCAGTACTATTACACAACTGAAAAAGGTACAACTAAGGATTTGATATTTAGTTTTAATTTTGGCTACAGATTTTTCAGTTAATGTTAACAGTTTATCATCCTTTCTATACAAAGCATGAATGATCTCTGCATCGTTCTCATCCTTGCTATCTGTCAGTATTTTATCTAGATGCAATACCTAGACATAACCATTTTAAACTCAGCAATAGGCTGTCCCAGGACAGCCATGCATGGCAGAGCATGAAAGGCAAGAATTTGAATCCAAGGACTGTAAGTATTCTGGTTCTATGGTGGCGAGCTCAAACTAGGCAACAGTTCTAATGAATGTCAAAGAAGTTCAGCATTGCCTCTCACAGTGGAAAGCAAGCTAGATCTGAGAGAAAACATCGAATACTACATCTCATTCTTTTACTATTTAGATACACAGTTCGTACTATTTCAGTTTATTTTGACATGACAGTATATCCTACGTCTATTTTGGTGCTTTTATTTATTTAATCGACAAATTAACATGAGGACTGCAAAATCAGTTTCACTATGACATAAGCAGCTATGATACAGCAAGAGAAAAATTTCTTACCCAAATGTCTTGTTTTTCACCAATTGGAAAATTTGAATACAAGTCTACCATTTCTGGTGTCCTGTACATTGGCGTTGTATTCCTTGTGATCTGCAAAAGACAGTTTCTTCAAACAGAAACTTGAATAATAAACTCTAACAGCATTCAACCAAGGAAACAGCTCTCCATGTAGAACGGATAGCAATTTCACTTTGAAAATTAATTCCAGAAATACTTGTCAAGGCAGAAGCCATCAATTGAATCCTAGAATAGTCACAACAGCTTTAATATAAGTCTGGATAAAGATGGTAATACCCAAATGACATTGTGATATTCAAGACTCCTTCCAAACTGCAAAGCACAAAGTAAAATGACTTCTCTACGTGAGGCAAAAAGGGACATGGACACAAGTACAGAAAATCAACAATAAACCAAGAAGTGAATTCATGCTCCAGTGTGTATTTCTCATTTCCTCATCACACTTAATGACAGCGCAGACACATCCAAAGAGTTCACAAGGATCCCTGAAGAGATCTTTTCTACCACCTTTTTGCATAGACTATAAAAGACAGGGGTACATCATCATCTTTTCTTCTCCAGAAACCAATGGATTGCTCTCCAAGGATGCGGGATTCCAGAACAGGGAGTTTACAGAGACTCATGATATCAGAACTTGCAGACAGGAATTCAGTATCACTGTATTTCTCCATACTTAAAAGTCTGAGTCCAGTTGATGTATTACATTAGATTTAACAGCATTACTCTTAGCTCCAAACTAAGAACAAATGTACTTTGCAAAAACACACTGCCTGCTTAACACTGTCACTTTAGTCCTAGAGGCAATGCCATACTGCCTATTCAAATTCTGCTGAGCAGACTTACTGCTTCTTTATATATCATTCAACTGAGAAAAACAGATGAGAAGGTGGGAATCACTTTGGCATAATCAACTTTTGACTTCCTGGTAAGAGTGTGATTAGAAGCAGCTCTAGTAATCACTTCTGTTTTCACACCAGATTGCAGAATGGACACTGCTCAAGTTGAAGCAGTGTTTGTATATGCAGGTACAGAACACAAGCTATGATTATAACTGCAGACAGCATTTGAACTCTGGCAACACAAATACAAACCCAAAGCTTTACGAACAACACTACAATTGAAACAATATTCAGTTGTCTTAGAAGTCCCATGAATCAATATCAGATTAATAGTAACAGTTAAATGAATCCACTGTTGATATTAAGATTAATCACATTAAAATAGTCTCACCTCTTCTTCAACCACTGCTCTCTTCTGTGCAGACCAGTTGTAGTCAGGATAGTAAGCTATAGTTGTAGCACTACCGAAGTCACAAAGTTTAATCGTCCCTTGGTTACTAATAAGCAAGTTTTCCACCTTCAAAAAGATGTAGGATAAAGGAAATTTTTTTCTGTACACTAACACAAATGCTTTTAAACATCAACTCACTTGTGCATATGTATAAAAAAATACTCACTTTAGCCCAGAATGTTGTTTACAGGAGTACAAAGATTTCAGACAGTACTGTAGATATGGTAGCAATACGGCCAATTTTTAAAAGAAAGCACCAAAACCACTATGAGCAGGAAACATTCAAGAGAGCAGGACATCCACCCGGAAAAAAACCCCAAACATTTCATTAGTGCCTAAGAAGAGGTCAGTTTTTCAGAGGACCACTTGCAGAAGCAGTATCTTGGAATCCAAATGTTTTCATGTATAAAACTAAACAGTGTTAGCTTAATTGCAGTGGAATAGAGGTTAGGACTGCTGTAGACACAAAACAGGAAGGTACTAGTAGAGAAACCGGCTGCTGGGGGACATGCAGAAAGAGGCAGCCATGACCCTGTGCAGAGATAGAAACCAGCTATTTGAGGACCATGTGCTGCCTGAATAGTTCATCATCCCTCCCTTTTCCTACTTCATAAAATCCAACCTTCCTGGATTGCTAAGTGCAATGGGGGAAACTTAATGAGAGGGGAAAAGTGGGTATTGGGCAGAAGTATTGTGGGGTCATAATGACAAAAGGGCTGAAAAAGAAAATTTCTATCTTTGTATTAAGTCAGGAAAAGGTGTAAAAGAGGCATAGTAGTAACATTACACCACACCTCAGATAACTAGGTTTGTCTTCCCTTTACCTTTGAAGCCACAAGATCTCTGGACCTCCTTCTGTAAAACCTCAGTTTTCAGAACATCCTACTAGTCTCCCTTACACATGCCCGTTCCAACTTCTTCCACCATAAAATCAATTTTGTCTACCCTGCAGGAATACGTAAGCTCTGTTAATGATGTGGTTGGAGTACCAATCTCATTGAGCAATCTGAATTCCCTTCTCTGTTGGAAAACCTTTGCTAATCTCCATGTACAATATGAAGGGTGGGCATTCAATATCGAGTTATATTTATACACCAAAAATGGTCACAGTAAGACCAGAGATCAAGCTTCTGCACACAAACGTTCTGGTTTTTGTGTTTTGGTAAAGGTTGGTAATAATGTAAAACATTCCCACTGATTATTCAGATTTTAACAGGCTCTATGACCTGCGTTATGCAGACTAGCTGTGCATTGCATGGCAAATCCCGAAAAGATAAAATTCAGACAATTACAATATCAGAAGCACCGATATTTTACAAATCACCATCTAAGTAGCTTAGAATTTTTACAACTCAGTAACTAGGTGGGTTCTTACAGTACTGTACACACACATTGTAAGTGCGAACTTCATCCAAAGGGGTTCAGGAACAAAGAATGTACTACACTGACAAGCAAGGGAAGGAAACCACAGGAGGACAGAAACAGTCACCACTATGAAGGTGAACTTGTTTTTAAGCTGCACTGTAGAAGTTCATGAATCCTTATACTTTTTAGTCAAAATAATTGAGAAAAACCTGTTAGGACTCCACCCTACTACACCCCTCCCCAAAAGCTACACTAGCATCTCGGGTCTCATTTGAGGTTGGCTCAAAACATCGACCCACAGTTTTTTATGCTACTGACCTAAGTTCAGCCTTCTGGAAAGGGCAGCACAGATAAATGATCCCTATTTGGCTCCTGATTGTAGTAAGGTCTCTGCCTATTGCACCACAACTATCATTTAATCTTGCTTTGCGGCCCCTGTAACATGAAACCAAATTCCTGCCTTTTGCCATATTTTATCTCTGCCAGGAACTTATGTTACTCAACAAAAAAAAAAACAGACCTTGAATTACAGCATTAGCTCAACTACTATGGAGCTGGCTATGTAAGAAATTGTGTAATTGTAATTTGCAAACAGTTTTTCATCCCTTTTTCAGACAAGAGATCCACCTTTTCTACAAGCTTTTCTAGGGGCTGGTGTATAGAAATTTCAGTGAAGAACAGAAGATTTTATTCTAGAAAGTAACACCCAGAAAGTTCTATCCCAGCTTGATTAATATTTCTTTGACATGATCTAGAAGCCTGCTCAATGGTACTGAGAAAAAAGTGCTCCATCATCACAACTATTTTTATATTAAGTCTATACTAGTGCCTAACATCAAACAGTGTTGAAAACACACATTTACTTTTAAAAAGGCGTTTAATTTTCCTTTCCCCAAAGTAATCAAGTACATGCTTACTTAAGGAGGACAAATTTTCCTTTTTTTATACTCAGCTGACACCACATCAGGCAGGAAACAAACACATGTGAAATTCAGACACTGTTTCAGGAATGAGAATCTTCTTTCTCTTATTTTGTTTCTGTTTACAAAGACCACCTCCTTCCACCAGGTTCAAATGTATTTGTAGTACAGCAGAATCTCACTGATGACTAGGGCTCCTTCATCTAATGTATAGCATACATGTAAAAGTGAACTCCTGCCTTTAAAATACAAAATTCAAACACAGATGAAGTCCTTTCAAATCCTTGAAGTTTCTAAGTGGACAACACTTTCTATAGCATAACCCCATAGCATCTTGGTAAAGGCTAACCGAATGAAAAATTAAGAACAAAATCTGTCATGAATTATGCCTGCGAAATGTTAAAATTCAAGTTAAAAACAAGCTCTAAAATGCAAAGCAAGTTGTTAGTTCTAAAACAAACAGCTTACTATGCATTCTCAAAGGCTACATAATCCTTCACAGAATCCAACATCACCTTCTCTTCTCCTTCAAAGCTTTACCTCTTCTATTTCAAAAACCTGCTCACCTCAAAACTGCAACTCACAAGTCATACCTGGTTATTTTATCAAAAGCAAACTATTTAAAGACTAACTTAATCAGCAAATCATGATATACTACTTTTCTGTCAGTTTGTTCAGATAGAGTACAAGTAGTACTAACACCACAAGCACAAGGAAAAGATGTTGTTTGAAGAGATGCAAGTATTTTAGTGATGACCTTCACTGACATCCAGCAGCCTTGGCAAGGCAATATACATGAAAGCACCACACTCAAGAGTGTCCACTGTATTTGATCAACAGCCTTAACAATGAATCAGCCCAACAGGCTCCCTTGCTGTTTAAAAATTCAGCCTTTATTTAAACATTGTAACGCACCTTTAAATCTCTATGGATAATAGGAGGCTTCTGTTTATGCATATGCTGTACTGCTCTGCAGGTCTGATAAAAGATCTTCAGAACTGTGTCACAGGAGATAGGTCCTTTGGATTCTACTTTCTTTAAGAATTCAACCAGCTGTCCTGCAGGAAATCAGAGAAATTCACATAAGCACACACAGAACACCACAAATTCTGGAAGCTTGGCATGAATAGACAAACACTAGATCTTCCTCATCAAGGAAGATTTACAGCCTTGAGCTGTAATATTAGATGGATATTCTGAAAATGGCAAATCCACACTGACTGCAGTGCCAAAGGAAATGGTGCTCTAAGGAACTGTTCCTCCTCTTCCTTCCTCTGACTAGTCTCAAACACAAAGAACTTAATGATTATCCCCTATTGAAGATGAGGTTGAACTGCAATCTCAAAGAACATGAAGTCTCAAAGAAGCTGTGAAGCAACCTGTGCAAAACAGCTGTCAGAAGCAATGTGCGCTGCTGGGAAAAGAAAAGTTTACCTTTACATAGCTCTGTAAGTAGAAGAAACTCTCCCTGTCCTGTGTCTGATTCTTCTTTTCCTATAGATGCAGCAGAGCAGAACTGGACAATGTTGGGATGACCTGAAAGTTTTTTCTGGAGATAACACGTTCAAGGAAGACAACTGCCAAGTTTATTGATACTATTGTATACAGCAGTTCACAGACCTCTCATGTGAAGTGTTAGCTTAAAACCACAGAAAGAATTATAGCTGCAATTAAAATACTATGCAGAACAGGGAAATCCATGCCTCAGCTGAAAAAGCAGACTTCAATGGAAGCCACTGAAGGTAATGTAATAAAAACCTCAAAATAAAGCATTAAAAAAAAATCCTTTGATTAAGGCTCTGAGGAAGTTGGACTTCATAACAGGCCTAGTTACTTCTTTTCATCTTTTGCAATGATTGCAAGGCATTAGCACAAGTACCAGAGAGACCTTTTAATTTTCAGCTGCTTCTCTAGCTGGCTGATCAAGAAAGGACTATTGTATCAATACCTGTCTTTCCAAAGCAAGTATTAAGTATGTTACCTTTTAATTTTAACTAATTAAAATAAAGTTCAAAACAAAAGCTCTAAAAGACCAAGGAACTTATCCCTCCATCATTAGTAATAATTCTTCATACCAAAACCTTTGTCATGTTTCACTTCCAGTTCAAAAATTCAAGTTATAATTTTTTTGAACTATGTAAAGGGGAATAAAATCTAAGTGATCCCAGCTCTTGCCAGTGGAACTTCCTCTTGCCACAGGAAGTTATGCCTGTTTGTGTTCTCCCCGATGTACATCATCTTGGTCATATACTGAGACTCATGCCTACAAGACCAATACACTATTTACAAGACACATTCACCAAGTCTGAAAAGAAAAAAACAAAGACATAAGTACAACAAAGCTACAAAAAAAAGGGCACATTGGATCCGGCAAATTAGAATGAATCTAAAGTACTATTTTGTATCTTATGCATGTCTTCACAACCTTACTCAGACCTGCAGGGATTGATTTCATCTCAGTTATATCTTGGAAACTTAGCAGCAGTTAACCCTAGTTCATGTTGTGCATATGCATTAATGAGCCTGAGCTGTGAAAAAAACATCCAAAGAACATTCAGTTCTTTACTCCTGGCAAGATGAGTAGCTAGAAAATGTATAGTGCTATGGTAGTCCAGTCTTTGCAAGTGTACTTCTAGTGAAGTCTGTTTAGTGTAAGATTTTGTCAAACATTTCATAAAAATCATAAAAAGAAATATTTGAGTAGCTTAAATTAAGATCAGTGGTTTTGCCTGGTAACTCAAAATGAAGCTAAATACTCAGAGTGGTATACAAAACGGCATACTACAGCTACTCCCTGACTCTTGAAACAAACTGAGGGTCCTAGAGCAGATGCTGGGGAGCAAATATTGACTTTACTAAAACCAAGGACTGACAACTCCAAGGCTAAATTATACCCTACCATCTAACATCATTGAAGATGCAAATGACACCAACGACACTGAGGAACATCTGCTTCTTGTTTGATAGATGTATTCTACTGAAATTCCTTCCTTAATATTCAGTATTACTTTTTAAAGCCAGATGCATCTGAGGCAGAAATTAAGAAACATTGAGAGTAAAAGCAAAATTTTGAGTAGTAAAAAGGCAATAAATCCAGTGCACGGGAGGGAAGTATACTTAAGATCTAAGTATCATCTGAATAGTCAAAAAGTCTCTTGACCATAGTCAGAGGACTGCAAGAAAGCCCAAATAAGAATTTCACTTCTTGCTTGACGAAGTATATGACAAAGTCTACACTATCTACAAAAGTTATATGCACATATTAAATTCCTGCAATTGTTGAAGAACTGAACTTCCTGGATGTTGGTGCCACATTCATGACAAACCAGAAACCCAGACCCTCCTGACAGTCCTCTTAAGTGTATGGCCTGGAAAAAACTGAATCTGTGTAAAGCAGTCCTCCACTTCTCAGGAATGTTTTGTATCAGGCAATTAAATCAAAACATTAAAATAGGTTCCAGAAAAGGATACCATAAAACAAACTTCCTGAATGATGGCTTTGTTCTTTTCTTCTTCATTAGACAACAATCGCTGTCAGAAAACAGAATAATTGAGAAGATAGTTATTAAAACTTACAGAAAAACAGTGCACAGATATTTTTTTTCCCCCAGAACACAAGGCATAAGCTACAGTCAAAAACCTAAGGAACTGTGATGAGACAGTAAACAAAGCATATTGTACACTTGGACATACTGCCATAGATATAGCACCTAGCTTTTCAGCTACCTGTACTGTTCAGGTTTAGTGCTAACTGAGCAGTTGTAACCTTTGACACTCAAAGTAACTGCTCTCAGTTTTCTGTTGTATAAAACACTTAAGTGTCCTGGCTACAGCACTGTGCACTGACAACGGAAGATTCATCTTCCGCCTCAAATCTTTAGGAACAACCTTCAACTCGCTCCAACCAAAAAACTTCTCCAACTTATATAGCCCAGCTTTTTCAATGGTACTTGATTATATCCTTAATATTGCTTGGATTTGGAGTCAACATTTGACCAGAATCAATCTGAGCATTTGCTACAAAAGTACCAGTTTTACAGAACAGAGGAAGTACAGTAATGGTTCACCTTTTATCTTATTTTTAAATGGGGCTACTTCTAGATGACATTTTGAAGACACATGCTATATGCGTTTGGTCATATGTTTTGTCACTGTAAGATGTGGTATGAAAAGGAAAAAAACAGACCAAGTAATTACTGGTGGTGTAATGCCATCTTACCTCTCCCACCTCTCATACTACTACACTTTTCACTTTCTCTCCAAGGCAGATGTTTTCGTACTGATACAGCCACAGAACATCCCTACTCCAAAAAGGAAGCCATTTTGTGGTGAACACAAGTGACTGATTTTTTTTTTTGCAGCAAAATGACAAAGTAAATGACTTCACTTTATTGTCCTTTCCATAATACTTCAGTTTTTCAGCTGTTACATGATTATCATAAGCCTTCAGAAAACAAGAATCCAGAGAAGTGTCTCTGAAAAGTGCCAGGCTGAATGATCAATGAGTCAAAGTGTGGAGCATTATTTTTAATACTGATAACACTTACTCTGGAAGTACAGAGGTAGGCTAACTGGTAGGCTAAATCTGCTTCTAAGGATTGCAAATATTCATGTACCCCAGTTCAGGTGAAAAGGTTCTTTTAACCATGAAACAAAATACTTGGGGCAGGGTCATGAATTTCTAGAACAAATGAACACAAACAGCAGTAGTACCTAACACAGTAACTCCCATCTTTGGCATCTAAGTATAAAGCACAGGGTCCTAACAGGAATGACTGTTGAAAATGCAGGTACAGTGTGCTAGAAACACCACCATCATTCTCAATTTTTCCAAATGACTTGTTCAGTGGCATACATCAAGAACTATGTCATGCTAAAGCATCAAGCAAAAAGACGTTGTAAAACTGTAGTGAAGTAAATTCATTTTACCTTTAAAGCATAATCTTTGCCACTTCCAAGATCTTGAGCTTCATACACAAAAGCAAAACCACCTACAAGAAGGCACATTACGTCAGTTTTAATTTCAACAGTCAGGTAAATCATTCTTATTAGTCTAACAGAGCTAATACATTAATTTAGATGCTTTTCTGAATGTAAGAAGTACACATATTTTTCAGTGGCTTACCAAGAGTATGGATAACCTACACCCAAGAGCTAAAATATTCTCTTCCTTTTACACATGCCAGAATCACACACACCTTGTTGCTTTCCTGCATTTTTTTAGTCTACATATGCAGATTTCCTACGAAGAAATTTTTTTTTTAATGCAGGTCCTTATAAAACCAAGATTCAGTTCAGCCAATATTACCTAATGATTTTAATTAAACTACTTCTTGGTTTTACACTGTTAGGCTTCCTATAAAATAGCAATAATCAAGGGAGATAAAATGTTAAATAAACACCTCCTTATACTTTTAGCATAACTGCCATGCTTCAGGCTTCATATTAAAAGCAGAAAGCGTTTTCAAGCACTGAAGCACAGACTTCAATAAGGGTGATGCTGCTACTAAATTGCAATTTGTCTTTCCATACAACATTATTTTCCTTGCAACTCCTTTTGTCATAATGTCTATTTCAAACACTACCAATTTGCTCAAGAACACTGTGCAAATTCTTACAAAGTAAAAAAGACTGAGAAAAAGTTACAGGTCTGCTAAGTTTCCTCAATTGCTAATTATGTTAATCTAATTGTATCAAAAGAACATATTTGTACAGTTCTACTCCATTTTAATGATATCGGTATCACTTTCATTTCTTCTGGGAATGTCATCCTCATTGTTACATCAACAGTGTGGTTGCATATATGTTCTCCATCTATTGCAGAGTACCTCTAGTACAGTAACAGCCGAAGTGACAAACTTCAATGATTTGCCTTTCTACTCCTTTAATATAAATCCTATTTTAATTGAACTACATAGCAATGTTCTCTCCAGCAATAATTTGGAGAATAAGCACAGAAGATGTCAGCAAACTACAAAATTTTACAGGTCAAAAAGGGTAAGAGAATAGTATAACTAAAGAATGAACCACCACAGACAAGAAACAAGTTGACAAGGCATTTTTTTTTAAAAAAGATGCAGGATCCAAATCAGTACAGTCACATTAGTACCCAATACCTTCTCTGTGGATAAGAAATACTAACATGAGGCTGACGTGAACACAGTATTTGCTTTCTGCAATTCAATCAAATACAAGGCTTTTCAAGAAGTAGTCTCAAGAGCTTTACATGGCAATTGACCATCACAGTGTTCTCCAAGACTCCTGAATGGTACTGCCCACACATCTTTTTACTTTGCCAGTAGCATCCACAACATGAACCGAATAAACGACAGGCTCCTGGATACTGCCTTTTTTTTGTATCTAAAGGGGAATTATAAACAAAACCAGCAAAACCAAGATCCCAGCTGCAGGGAGAACAAGCAAAATAAAGTAACGAGTGCACCCTGAAGAGTTAAAGTATCAGTGAGAACACTGAAGATGACAGACAGTAAGGGCTGCAGTTCAGTCCCACCATACATTACTGACACATGCATTGTGCTTACCTATTTACTTTGATTCCTTCTGTAAAATCAGGTTCAGTACTTCCCACAATAGGAAGTTCCCTTAGGTTTTCTAAAACCCCCAGAGCAAGTGTTTTTATCAGCAATTACAATCAGCATTTTAAGCACTGATGGGACAGCAGCTGGAGACAGAATGAAGTCCACACTTACCACCATCTTAAAGTATTACCTAAAGACACTTTGCTCCTTTCTGAATGAGAACATATGCAAGAAAAACATGGTTCTGGACAGCACTGATCAGTTTGACTACTGTTTACAGATTTCATTGAGCTGGTGAAATGCGCAAGATAATCTGAGTCATCCTTCCACTGAAGCTAGGTGCTGGGAAACCATGTCTTTTGACTGCTCTTCCCAATCAGTTCCCTATTCACATCCAGAGGCAGGCCCCAGGTTTCAGAGCCCACTGTCCCAGTGAGTTGCAAGCCCCTACACCAGTCACTTTACCACAGAGCTACTGCTTCTATGTCTTTGTCCTACACAGGTCGTCTACACAGTCAGAGTACTGCTGGCCCTACAGAAGAAAGTCTTTACATTCATCTTGACAAATATTTCTTTGATTTTATTCTAATAACCCTGCAATCTCCATCTTGAAAACATATGCTTCAATTTACAAAATTAGGGGCTTCAGGTCAGCACAAATTTCTAGTACACAAAATTACTGCACCATTAGTTTTCTGGAAGGCACTCCAGAGCAAAATGGTGACAGAGGCACCCCAGATTACAGAATAGTTATCCTGCAAGCTCAGCGCAGGTGTGTACACTGCCAAGGGTTCTTCTACCAGGGCTGGAATGCAGCAAGCGTACCCTACATTTAAAGCATACACCCTGCTAGTACTTCTACAAATACAAACATCCACAGACCTACATACATGCACTCCAAAATATAACTAAGCTTCATTCAAATGCATCAAATGCCCTCCTGGAAATTATACAGGTGAAAGCATCTATGCATCAGAATTAATCCATCAAATCAATTCAATCCACCATTTTCAAGCATGTATCTGACAAACAACCAAGCTGATCCAAACTCTGAAGAAGGCCCCTAGAAGCACTGCTACCTTTCCAACTATTTCAACTGGTCTTATAAGCTTTCCTACAAGGTCTTCCTCCAATATAAGAAATGCTTACAATGTAGATCGCGTTACACATTATCACTAAGCTTAACCCTCTTGACACTGAATACAAAGGAGTAAAAGGAGGAATTAGTTTACTATAATCTTTTTTTAGTTGAGTAAATCTTCAAAAAAAGATGAATTTCAAATTTTCATGGAAGTGCTGATCATCATACAGCCCTTCTAAAACTCTAGACACATTCACAGTTGCCCTGAAATTTTCTCTCTCAGTTCACAATAATCTTGAAATTCATGCATAAAACTCAACCACATTTATGAAAACTACACAAGTTCATTTCTTGATGGAAAAGCCTGGTTTTTTACCACTCAATCACAATGTTACAACAACCTCAGAAAGGCTTCTGAAGTTTAAGTAATTTTTGTTGCATTTAAATGAATCTCATTTCCAACCAAAAACATTAATTTCAGTACTCTTAATTGCTAGCTAGGAATCTAAAGAAATTTTATATTCAGCTTCATAACTACTTCAAAACATATACTGGTTTTAAGTTTCAATACTTATTGAAAATCATAAATGTTCATTTTGGACTAACAGTGCAAGTGAACATTTTGAACAATGCAAGCCATTTAAAAATGATGAATTCTTGTTATCAATAGAAGTTAATACAAGCTCTGCTTAGTTTAAAGCACAGCTATTTGACTTTAAGTGAAGCATAATTGACATTATCTGGAAATCCAGTGAAATATGCATACGAAGTGTCCAAACTAAGATTTTGCTGAGGTCAAATTTAAAGCCGGCCAGACTCAATTGTGTATTAGCAAAATACTTGATTTAATTACTACATTTTCATAGCATGGATTAACAAAAGGAAAGGTAATGAAGAGAGTCTTCAAGGCCATTTTAATGGTGGCATGGCTCCCAGCAATGGTTATGGAGTAGGATCTCACAATTTATGCAGAGGTATTAGAATAGTAAGCTGAAGGAAGAAACTTCATTAAAATAGTGATAGCTTGAGAGTACATAAGGAGCTTAAAAGATGCACTTTTACTTCAGTGATCATACCTTAAAATCAAGTACTGAAATGCTAAACACCAAGTTCATTAAACTTTTCAGAACTCCAAATGAAAACCAATGGTATCACAGCTGGTTAAATTCCTACTTCATTGCACACATCTTTTAGAAAATTTCACTGCTATGGCCTCTAACCTCATCCTTTACAGCTATGCCCCTATCAAAACATCAGTTTTGTTTCTCATTCTGTCATTTCATTGTTTCACCTGAACACAGTTCAGCTCCATACAACACTGCTCATTCCAGGTGGTGATCGGTTCACTACTACTGCACTACAGCTGATACCAATTTTAAATCTATGGATTTTCTGGGATACCAAGAGAGGTACAGTAAATTGTGAAGGTACTTTTAATTTACTTTTTTTAAAACCATCTATTATTGGTGAAAACAATTATTTCACAAAAGGCAAAATTAGTCCTACTGCTTCATTATTAAAAGCAGCTTCATTTAGAGTTTGATGCTGGCTTCCTTGTAGAGCATATCTACTAAAACAGTTTTAATATACCCTCAATAGGGACAACTTCACTGGCAAAATTTCTCCTGTAATCCAGGCCCTCTGACCAATGTAGTTTGCAATATAATCTGCAAAAATGAAAAAACCAACCAGTTTCACCTGTTTAACTATAACCACACCAGGTATTTCACAGTTAACACAGCCATGTCAGTCAATGATCACACCCCTACATCAACATACCTGTATGAACACCTGTATAGTAGACCCAACTGAGGCAAATGAGGAAATGAAAGTTAAGAGTACAAAGACTGCTTTGGTTTCTTTCCTGGGGTGTAGAAAGAATGTCATTTCATTTGGTGTGTTTTTACCCGTTATTTCCACTCATGTAAATATCTATAGGTGGTTTTAAGTCAGTTTTCTGAAGCTTTTTATATCAGCAAAATCATCTTAGCATTTCCCCCATACAGGTTACCAGTGTGTATGTATGTACACACTCATCCAAGCTCTTGCCCTGAGACAAGTTTTTCACTGCTGAAGCATTTTCAGAACACAGCCCAATTATTTTCTGCCACAGAAATTATGGCAGATGAAAACTGGTTTTCTTTTCTGTAGACACAAACTTACACATAAGAGGTTCACTATAGAACGCCACACCAACTCATGAAAAAGGAGTAGCCAAAGCACAACAGTCAGTCCTGGAATCAGTCTTGCCCCATAGCAGACACGGAGAAACACAAGGCTTACCAGTCTCACCTTCCTGGCCCATACTGAGACTGTCTGATGACTTCTTTTGCATTAGAAACTAACCCCACCTCACTTGTTTTAAGAGC